CCACTGTCCCTCTGACTCGGAAATTCACGGTCACTTTGCTCCATCAAGTTCTCCTACCTTTGAAATGACGTTTGAAAGATGCCTAGAATTTACAGTATGATGCGCTTAGCACTCTAGAAACGGTCGCCCGCCTTCTGCGCTTGCTCCCCAAATAATTGCAGTGTTCCTCGGCGTCTCTGGGTGGTTACTTTATGGAGGAGTCTTTGGAATGTTCCACAGGTTATGATGTTTTTGCTTTGGTGGACGTAAGAAATGTTCAGACCTCTCCTTCCCCACCCCGCCCCGAGAATTGTTATGAGTTAATTTGAGCCAAACTGACGACAATGCCGGGAAGCGAAATCCCCAAGGATTGGGAAGATGCTGCGGAGAGTGGCAGTTTTGCAGCTTATTTTATAGCCGGGAGTCGAAGGAGAGGCACGAGGAGGGTGCGTGACATCAGTGGGTGGTGGGTGAGGGGGCGGGAGATAGCACAGCTGGGAAATCTCTGGGATTGGAGCCGAGAGTGAAACGAGGGGACACATACTTCTTGTCTCCTGTGGGTTCGGGGTAGTGAACAATCCACAGCCCGTAGAGATGGCATTCGGGGAACAAGTCAGCCGTGAGGCTCCTCTGAGCTCGGGTTCCCGGGGAGATGGTGCCCCGAGAGGCCCAGGAGAGAGGATTGCTCTCCATCGCCAGGGCCCGTGATCCTAGACGCAGAGACGATGGACAGCCCGCTGTGGCGGAAGGTGGGCCTTGGCCAGGGGAGCCACAGGCCGGGGCCGTGACTGCCGCCAGGACCTGCTCTTGGTCAGGGTTTTCATGTTCAGAGCATCCTGTGTGGTTCCTTTGGCCTCTGCGTCTGTGGGGCCCGCCACGCTGGCCTCCCGGAGCTCGTCAGGTGAGCCTGAGGCCGGGCTGTGCCCACGGAGGAGGAGGGGTCAGTGGGGGTTAGGGACGCAGAGTTAACGGACAGGGAAAGCGACTCCAACATCTCTGGGGTGTGGCTCCCCTTTCAGCCAAGAAGGGCAGCGGTCGGCGGTGACATCCCCACTCGGCCTCCAACCCACAGACGATGCTCAGTGAGCCACGCCAGCGGGGACCCCCCAGGGGCAGCCCCTCCACTTCAGTTCTCCACGGGTCCCCCTGCCTCCACCGGTTCAGACGCCCCCTGAACTAAGACGCCGCCTCCATAAGCGCCGTGACAGCCCCCACACGAGGACATACTCGTCAAAGACAATTACCTCTCGCCGTCACGGCTCACAGATCAGTGTGAAGCCCCTTTAGCACGGTGTCCGCTCCTGTTAGCAGAACCAGGAGGGAGGGAGGGGACGCGGCATTCGTGACGGCTCCCTCTCCCCCCACCCCCTGCCCACCCGGCGCCCTGCTGCAGGGCCGCAGCATCCCCTTCACTCGTCACTGACTCCTTCCGGACGTCCTCGTGGGTCTCACACAACGATGCTGAAGCGAGAATTCCCGCCATATCACCAGGCAGAGGGAGGGCGGTGGGAGGCAGTAGCTATGCTTTGGGGAGGAAGCGGTGTTCCCTGGAAAGGGCCCCCAGAGCCCTGACATTGGAGGAAATGTGCTTTCGGGGGACAGAGAAGTAGACGATAGAGCCCCCTGGGGCCGAGCGCCTTCTTTCTAAGGCTCGTGGGAGCGCGTACATCAAGCATGTCAAACTCGCGGCCGGCGGGCCGCATGCTGGGCACCTACTCTTTGTTCTTTTTTAAAAAATATGTTTTTATTGATTTCAGAGAGGAAGGGGGAGAGAGAGAGAGAGAGAGAGAGAGAGAGAGAGAGAGAGAAATATCAAAGATGAGAGAAAATCACTGATCGGCTGCCTCCTGTACACCCCACCCTGGGGATGGAGTCCACAACCCGGGCCTGTGCCCTGACGGGAATTGAACCATGAGCTCCTGGTTCCTAGGTCGATGCTCCACCACTGAGCCACCCGGCCGGGCGAGGGCACCTACTCCTTACTCTTAAGGAGAGACAGGCTCTGCTGAAGGCGGTTGGAGGGGGGGTGGGTCTTTTCCCAGAGCTCAGCATGAAATCGTCTCCGATGGGAACTCAGGCAAGAAGGCAGGATCCAAAAACTCATTTTGGCAACTGGGACAAAGTAACAGACTTCCAAGGTCCCCAGGCCTCAGAGACACCCTGCACATGACGGGGACCCCTGTCCTGGCGGCTCCGAGTGCGGACTCCGCCTGCCGGGCGGGCGGGGCAGTAGAATACCAGGCGTGCTCGCCATGGGTCACCCTGTGCCTCCGAGATTCCAGAACAAACAGCGAAGAACACAGCTCACTCGCTGGTGCGCACACTGAACAGGACACGTGACCCAGCAGCGTCCCCATTGTGCCTGGGGGGGGACGGGTGGGGGAGGGGGTGGAAGGGGCGACCTGGTTCTGTGGCTCCATCAGATTGTAATGGGCCGGAACCTGGCGGGGCTCCAGGCTCTGTGTGGCCCGACACCCCCACCGAGCTGCTCCCCATCCTCACTCGGGTCCGGCCAGGTCCTCCCGGCCCCGCCACAGACGGCCGCTCAGTGCTGGGCGCGGATTTTTCTCCCTCGAAATGAGGACAACATGTTTCCAAACCCCCGGAGCCTGAGCGTCCGGGGCCGCCGGAGGCCTGCCTGCCTGCCTGCCTGCCTCCGTGTTGTGGTTGTACCGATTCCCAGACTCGGGGGAGAGAGTGATTTGTGCTTTTGGCAGCCACGGGCCTGTTCATTTTTCCGTGGACTTTCCAGCTTAAGTTGAGGGCGGGCCAGGGAAAGGGAATGCAAAACAGATCTGCGGACGTGCGGGGTGTGCGCCGCGTCCTGTCCCGAGCTCTGGGTGGACCTGCAGCCGCGGGCCAGCTCCCGCCCGGGGACCGTGGTCTCGGGTGGGCTGTTCGCCTCCCGGCGCCTCGATTCCCTTTTAGACAAAAATGGCCTCGGAGGAAAGGAGCTCGGGCCTCTGCAGGTCTGACTTCCTGTGACGGGCCCTTCCCCCATGAGGGCGTGGGAATGTGCCGGGTCTGCCACGGGCACTCGTCCTGCTGGGTTGTAGGCGCAGAAAAGAGAACCGCAGCTCCTTAAAGGAGGGAGCCTCGCCTCGTACGGGAAGGCCCCCAGCAAGATCCTTGTGCAGAGACGTGTGCGGGAGGCGGTGCAGTGCAGCCCTGGCATTTCCCAGGCGGCTCAGTGCCTGGGTGTAGGGCCGGCTGCGCTGGAATGAAGGAAGGAGGAAAGATCCGGGCGCACCCGCCAAGTGCTGACCACACTGCTGAGTCAGCAGGAGCACATGGGGCGGGGGCGGGGGGCAGGGGAGCAATAAATAATCAGCGCTTGGCAGTGGGTCCAGTGCGGGGAGCTCTGGGCGTGTACAGGGAGCTCTAGGTGTACTGGGAGCTCTGGGCGTATACTGGGAGCTCTGGGTGTGTACAGGGAGCTCTGGGTGTGTACAGGGAGCTCTGGGTGTGTACAGGGAGCTCTGGGTGTACTGGGAGCTCTGGGTGTGTACAGGGAGCTCTGGGTGTACTGGGAGCTCTGGGTGTGTACAGGGAGCTCTGGGTATGTACTGGGAGCTCTGGGTGTACTGGGAGCTCTGGGTGTGTACAGGGAGCTCTGGGTATGTACTGGGAGCTCTGGGTGTACTGGGAGCTCTGGGTGTGTACAGGGAGCTCTGGGTATGTACTGGGAGCTCTGGGTGTACTGGGAGCTCTGGGTGTGTACAGGGAGCTCTGGGTATGTACTGGGAGCTCTGGGTGTACTGGGAGCTCTGGGTGTGTACAGGGAGCTCTGGGTATGTACTGGGAGCTCTGGGTGTACTGGGAGCTCTGGGTGTGTACAGGGAGCTCTGGGTATGTACTGGGAGCTCTGGGTGTACTGGGAGCTCTGGGTGTGTACAGGGAGCTCTGGGTGTACTGGGAGCTCTGGGTGTGTACAGGGAGCTCTGGGTATGTACTGGGAGCTCTGGGTGTACTGGGAGCTCTGGGTGTACTGGGAGCTCTGGGTGTACTGGGAGCTCTGGGTGTACTGGGAGCTCTGGGTGTACTGGGAGCTCTGGGTGTACTGGGAGCTCTGGGTGTACTGGGAGCTCTGGGTGTACTGGGAGCTCTGGGTGTACTGGGAGCTCTGGGTGTACAGGGAGCTCTGGGTGTACTGGGAGCTCTGGGTGTACTGGGAGCTCTGGGTGTGTACAGGGAGCTCTGGCGTGTACCGAGGGCTCTGGCGTGTACCAGCGCTGACCTGCAGCCTTTCCTCAGAGAGCCTGGTGGGAAAGACTTTTCAGAATCACACAGATACCTAAGTGCCATCACCATGAGTGCCTGAAGCTCTTGTTCCGACGGACAGACAGACAGACAGCTGGACCCGCCTCCCTGCATCTGGGAGGCCAGGAGTTGGCGTCTCTCACAGAAAGTTCCCAGGCTGTGCCCAGCCCGTCCCCCCGGGGAAAAGTGACATGCCAGGAGAATCGAACTCGGATTCGGGGTCTGGGGCAGCTCCCCTGCAGAGGAGTCAGCCGAGGGACAGGAGGAGAGGGCCTGGCCGGGGGGAGGGCTGCGGGGGGTCCTGAGGGAGGGCTGACAGAACAGGGAGGGGGACCAGAGGGGCGTGGGGGGTGGGGCTGGAAGGTGAGGCCAGGCTTCTGGGAGCAGTGAGGCCCGGGGAGGGGGAGGCCCCCCACCTCCGTCTCCTGTCTGCCACCTCCCATGCCCAGCGGCCCAGGTGCCTTCACTGCTGCAGGGAGCGCCCGGCTGCCCCTCGTCCGACGGGAGCAGCGGAGATGGACAAAGGCGCCTCTGAGCTGCCTCTCCAGGCCCTGTGGTCCCCCATGAAGAGCCCCCACCCTTTGTCTGTTAGAGGAAGAGAGGAAGGATTTATGGGTGGAAATCAGGGTTCCCGCATGCTCACGCAGACAGAAGAGAGGGCCCCGTTGTGTGCAGGGTCATAAATAACAGCTCCCTCCGCCCGAGAAAGCAGCGGTTCACATCGTCTCTGCTCCC